GGAGGAGGGGAGGAGAAGGAGGAGGAGGAAAGGGGGGGAGGTAGGAGGAGGAAGATGGGGGAGGGCAGAAGGAGAGGGGGATCGAATGATGAGGAGGGGTAGTAGGAGGAGGTAGGGGAGGTATGAGGAGGAAAAGGGCGAGGGGAGAGGGGTGAGGGGAGGAGGAGGAGGAGGAGGGAGGGGGGGAGGGAGGGGATGTTTACGTAGAAAGATGTATGGCTGGAATACTAAAGGATGTTGTATCTTCACGTGTTCTTCTTTCTCCTTTTTTTCTGTTTTTTTTTTATCTCTCTGTCTGTCTGTCCTTTCTCTCTTCTCTCTCTCTCTCTCTCTCTCTTCTCTCTCTCTCTCTCTCTCTCTCTCCGTTACACATATTTTCATATCTAAATACACTATGCTTAACAAACCAAGGCATTATTCATGGCAACAGTCCTGACTAGAAGGAACAATTACTATGTAAAATTATTCTAAGAAACACAAAGAAAGGAAAGAAAGAAAGAAACATATAAAAAAAAAACAATGACAGTTACAGTGATAATTAAGGTAATTTTTTGCCGTTTGTTGTTTACAATGTTCTCTGTGTGAGAGGGAGGGAGGGGAGGGGAGGGGAGAGGGGAGGGGCGAGAGGAGGGAGGGAGGGAGGGAAGGGGAGAGGAAGAGTGGAGGAGAGGAGAGGGGTGATGGGGATGAATAATGAAATTGGGGAGAAGTGGAGGAAGAGTTAAGAGGGACGAGGAAGAGAAACTGGATATTGAGGTGGAAGCAGAGAGGAGAAGGGGGAAGAAATAACAAGATGAGGAAGAAGGAAAAGAAGACGAGAAGGAGGAAGAGGGAAAAGAGTTGGAAGAGGAGGCCAAGAAAGAGGGAGGGGCAAGTAGAGGGATGACAAAGAAGAGGAGGAGGAAGAAGAAAGAAGAAAAGAGCGGTAAGAAAGAGGAGCCAAGTACGAGAAGAAGAATAGCAGGAGGCTGAGAATAAGAGAGGCAGAGAGAGAAGTGACACCGAAAAGGAAGAGACGAAAAGAGAAGAATTTGAGAAGAGATTATTTATATGGGAGAGGGCATGGGATACAGTCTTGATTATGGGGTAGGAACGAGGAATAGGAGGGAGGGAGGGAGGGCAGGGGAGGTCGAGGGAGGGACAGCTGGGATAGAGGGTAAGGATAGGAGGGACAGGAGAGAGTAGTAAGACAGGGAGAGATAGAGTAGACAGGTATAATGGAGATGAATAGAGTAAGGGACAGGTGGAGAGAATAGAAGGGACATGAGAGAGAGAGAACGTAGTGACAGGGAGAGAGTAGAGAGGGTACAGGAGAGAGAGTAGAGACAAGTTAAGACTGATATGTTGAGTATGAAAAGAGACATGGTGAAAGAGATGAAGTGGAGAACAGGTTAGATATAGATAGTAGTAATGCGTAATTCGAAGTTAACCAGAGTATATATTGAGTAGAAGAGAGCACAGTGACTAGCAGTAGTAGATGATGGAATAAGAGGAGAGAATATGAGAGAGAGAGATATGAAGACGAAGAGAATGAGGAGAAGTGAGAGATAGAACGACCATGTTTAAAGTAGAGTATATGAATAAGATGAATTAAAAGATAAGACTAGTGATAAATATAATATATAGATTAATAGATAGTTAAGATATGAGAGTATAATATTTAATACATTAGATGATAGAGGAGAGTAATTTAGAGAGATAAATATATATATTGAGAGATAGTTAATTAAAGTAAGGGTATTATTAATAATTGGTAATATTAATGTGAATGAGGGAGTGGAAGGGATAATAGTATAGATATAATTACGAGAGTGAATGATGAGATCAGAGAGAATAGAGAGAGAGGAGAGAGAGAGATAAGACCTGATAGAGCAAAGAACAGAGATGAGAGATATAGAGGAGATAGATTAAGAGATTAAACGCTTAATGAAGAGATATTGAAAAGATAGAGAGCAGGTAGTGAAGAAGAAATAAACAAATTTTTCCTCCTTCTCACTTACTTATTATATAAATAATCCCTCGACTAATCTATCTTTATGAATTTCAACTGAGTTCTTCAAAGTCTACTCTACTGACAGGAAAGGACGCTAAAACCCAAAATGAACAATGAAATTACGCTAAAGTCGCATCTGTAGGCACGCGTGATCTCAGGTATAATAACTCTCAGGCGGTAGTTAGTTTGGATATGTGGGAGATGGTATAATGGGAGATTATTATAGGTGGTATATCATATGTATAGTATTAATTATATATATAATATGTATAACGGGGTGGGGCTGCATCAGTGTCATAATAATCGATCTTGAAACTCTATTCTTAGCTTTCTTGTTCTCTCGTGATCTGGTAAGACTTTTTTTTGGATTTTTAGATGCTGAGACGTTTTCTTGTTTGTTTTATTTTTTGGTGAATTTTTTGGTTTTTATTTTTGATTTTAGTTTTATTGATTTTTTGGTTTTTAGGGATATCATTATATTAATAGTATAATTTTTTAATATTATATTTTATTTCGTTTCTCTCTCATTTCTGTTTCTGAGTAGTTTATTTTCTTATTTATGGTCATGTAGTCTCAGATTATGGAGATTCGATATTAATACCATGGTAATATGCAACTGGATGTGTGTATCTGATGTGCGCTATATTAGGAATGTTTATAGTTAGATTTGAGTAAAATCACACAAACAAATGCGCACTACCTATAAAGACGCACATCAACACATACACCACACACCATAACACTACAACAATCACACTCACAACACTACACAACACACACCACACACACATAATAAGAAAAAGAAATAAAAAAGATGTGATACTAAGCAAGATAAACGAAATAATACATCTATTCATTAAGGATAATAACGAAATTTAATATAGTAACAAAATAAAATAGAAAGGATAAACACCACACAGTCACCAAACACTTAATTATATACATGATACTACGGGTCAGTTTAGATGCCTTCGAGCGTCTATAGTATTGTAGGGTGGGCGGTATAATTAAATTGTGTCTATAGTGAAACGAGTTGCAAGACGCGACCACGACAAGTACAGAGCAAATCCAGCTTATCCACACATCGTGTCCAAAAAGACTTTCTGTCCCGGCGCTTCCTCACCCACGAAGGTACACGTATCTCTGCAGAGAGCTACAGCCGCAGTTGTGAGGGTGAGTTGTTGTGTATCGCATTGTTATTGACATAGTATTGGCTATAGCATCTCATTTTCAAATTGTGATTAATTGTTCAATTTGTTGCTTATTGTATGATGTTCGTATCTGTGTAATTGTAACCATAACTTAGTGGTTACTAGGTCGCGCGCGTAGTAGCTTGTGGTGTGTGATTGTGTAGGGGGTCTTGAAGTGATGGGTTCCATTATTAATATTCTACTGTAATTGATGGAGTTGTTGTTATTATATCTTAAATAATTATTACTGTTCTTACTAATCGGACATTTATATTGTAAGGAGGCTGCTTTATCATTATTCCTTATTACAATATACAGCTGTCATTGTTATTATTAGATATATCACTTGCATGTTACAATTATTATGTCTATCTAATCTTATCAGGGTATTCATATTTATTTCTATCCTTCAATGTATCAAGCGAACAAATATCTATATAATCATCTACCATTGTATCTTCCATTGGATCAAAGGTTATTATCTATCCAGGAATCATCTTACTGACATTCAGTTATTCATCCGTTACAATATTATGAATATAATAATCATATAATGAACATATTATGACAGAAATAAACCACCAATGCATTGATCAAAGAGGACTAATCCAATATGACACATGTCCAGGTGGCAGAGAGCACCAGAAAATTATTTATCTATTTGTTAATTCATGTATCAGCAAATCTATTTGTTTGGTTTATTTCTTAGTTCACAAAATTAAAGTGACCTTTGGCAACAAGCTATCAACATGGATGATGTAGGATAATTCTCTATCTCTACCTCCGTCTCTTGGTCTGTCTCTCTTGTTCCAATCTTTTTTTTCTGTCTATCTTCTCTCTTTTCCATCTTTTTTTCTGGCCTATCTTGTCTCCCTCCTCTGTCTACCTCCTCTTCCCCTGAACAAAAAAAATACGAATATTATAAAAAGAAATAAATGAGAAAAGTAACTATGCCATAACCCGCTCTTTCGACACTTATTTATCCCTCTCTGTTATACGGCAGCATGCACCGGTCGTGGCTGGTAGTATGCGATGTGTGGGCCGTGACGCGGCAGGCTGGTCTTTCTTGACAGGCCCACTTCTCCCCGGGGAGTACCGACGTCGTTATGACAAAGCACACGCGGGAGACTAAGCGAAGGCGAGGGAGGAAAGATAAACATCATTGTCTAATGCACATGACACAGCATGAAAATCCGTCTGAGAACATGGTAGTTGGTTACGGGTCGCAAAGTCCAACAGGCGAAATTTCTTGCCGGAGAGAGAGGGGAAATATTTTACTCCAACCAAGAACGCGGATGGAAGAGTGAGGAGGAGCAGGTGAAGGAGGAGTGGAGGAGTGTTGTGGAGGAGGTGGTGGAGGAGGTGGTGAGGTGGAGGAGGTGGAGGTGGAGGTGGTAGGAGGTGGTAGGAGAGGAGGAGGAGAGGAGGAGGAGGTGAAGGAGGAAGGAGGAGGAGGGGAGGAGGAGGATAGTTGGTAGGAGGAGGCCGAGGAAGTGGAGGAGGAGGGGGATAATCTGTGTTTGTTATGAATGATGTGGTTATGTATGTAGTAACAATATATAATATACATACACATGTGCATGTGTATAAATGTAATATAATATATATATATATATATTATATATATGATATATAAAATATAAATATATAATATATATATAATAATATGAAATATACATATATTTAAACATACCACACACACACACATATATACATATATAATGTACCTACGCATGTATACGTATATATGCATGTGTATGTGTAAAGAAAGAAAGAGATACGATAGATCCCCAGACAGAAAGAGAGAGACGCAAGGCTTATAATTTCCACAGACAAGTAACGGTCATAAGTATAAGAAGTAATTCCCCATGACTCATCATTTTCTTCAACAGAGTAACACCTGAATCTTGAATAAGAGTAAATACTTTTATAAAATTTAATTTTGTTCGTTTCTTTGTTACTCTGTCGCAATTCTGGTTTCACGAATACGAACATGATAAATAAGCGATAAAAATGAGGTTGTAAGGAGTATGAAGGGAATTTCGACTTTATTTATGAATATCTGAAAGGTCATTTTCTTTTTATGTATAAAATGATGTTCCCGATTTAATTCAGTAATTAGATCGTTAATTAATAACCTAATTAAAAGATACTAAAAAAATGTTTCTAATTTTAATAATTCGCTCCTGTTCATCATGTGCAAAATTAAGTTCTCACATTAAAACCTGACAGATTTTTTTCTTAAAGTGAAGAAAAACTGACACCAGTCTCATTTCAGAAAAAGTAGCACATGAGCCTTAAAAAAGAAAGAAAGAAAGAAAATCCTTAAAGCTTATTTATCCTTTTACAGTCTTGTCTTGGCCGTGTAAAGACCCTCATCTTTGAACCGTATTCATGCTGACAAAGGTAGAAAGGCATGAGTGAGAATGAATATCTTGACAATGCAAGAGATGTGTCTGACCGGTTTCGAATGTATCTTCGTCAGAAATGCATGGATTTCTGACGAAGATGCATTCGAAATACAAGAGATGTATTGAACCGGTTTCGAATATGTATTGTTCACAAATACATGACATAGTATATCTGACGAAGATATATTCGAAACTGGTTAAATACTTCTTATGTATTTTTAAGATCTTCACCATATATCTTCATCAGAAATACATAAATACTCTTGTATTATGAAGATATTCTTTCTCAGCCATACCTTACAACTATTGCAAACGTGTCTTGAGAAACTTGTGGAGATTTTGTATGTATGGATTTCGTGTTTTTTCTGGTTTTAACTTTAAGACGTACGTAGAAATACGTTCGAGATGCTCACATAAAAAAGTAAGAAAAAATACAAATACATTTGCACAAACACTTTATAAGTGAACGTCCACGAAAGAAATTCAAGGAAATCTTGTATGTCTAAACTTAATCTCTAATCCATCAAATGATTGATTTATTCCCCAATCTAAGCATTTACTTATCAACTTGTCCCTTTATTTCTTGTATGTCTGAACTTCATTTTTTATCTTTAATCAATCAAATGTTAATTTATTCCCCAATCTAAGTATTTACTTATCAACTTGTCCCTTTATTTCTTGTATGTCTGAACATTTTTTTATCTTTAATCAATCAAATGTTAATTTATTCCCCAATCTAAGCATTTACTTATCAACTTGTCCCTTTATTTCTTGTATGTCTGAACTTCATTCTTTTATCTTTAATCAATCAAATGATTCATTTATTCCCCAATCTAAGCATTTACTTATCAACTTGTCCCTTTATTTCTTGTATGTCTGAACTTCATTCTTTTATCTTTAATCAATCAAATGATTCATTTATTCCCCAATCTAAGCATTTACTTATCAACTTGTCCCTATATTTCAGCAAACTCACCTCATCCAAGGGGAAGACGGTGGAGGCAGCGGCGCCCCCGGCCACCACGATGCGACCCGGAACCACGCCGATCTCCGCCCGGTATCTGCCCGACGGTTCCTCGCCCTGAGATGAAGACCGAACAGTGGTTAGGCAATAATTCTCTTTATGTCTATCTATTCATCAAATATCTTTTAAAACGAATTGAGACTTGTTCCGACTAAAAATAAATAAAAGAGAGGAGGAAAAGATACAAAGATACAAAGCATCTTCAAGAAAGAAAAAAAAAGAAAAAGAAAAAAACGATATGTGAACTAGACGCAATTCGGCACCTTGAAGAGGGCGTTCGTGGCGAGGCTGGACCACGTCCCCGTCGGGAGGTGGAGGGCGTGGGCGTGCAGGGAGAAGTGATAGCCCGACGTCCCTCCCACGGTGTACACATAATCCCCGACGCGACGAGAGGCCTGTCCGTAGAGCGCAGGGGGCGCCTCCCCCTGGCACTCCAGGACCCTCCACTCGCCCGTCCTCTTGTCGCAGGCGCTGACGTCGACGCCGATGCTGCTGCCGAAGGGGTAGCTCGTGCCGCCGAAGACGAGGAGCTCGTCCTTGGTCGAGACGAGGCAGTGCGACACGGTCTCCGCGGGCGTCGAGGAGGCGTCCGACAGCTGCTCCCACTCGCACGTCGACAGGTTCAGTCGCCAGGCCTGAGGGGGAGGGGGGGTTAGCGATTAGGTGGTATGGGAAGAAGAGGGGAGGGGAGAGGAGAAGGAGGAAGGGACGAAGCAGGGAGATGGAAAGGAGGAGAGAGGAGGAAGAAGGAGGGGAAGAGACGAAGTTGGGAGATGGAAAGAGGGAGTGAGGAGGAAGAAGGAGGAAGGGGACGAAAGGGGGAGATGGAAAGGAGGGGAGGACAGGAGGAAGAAGGAGGGGAAGAGACGAAGTTGGGAGATGGAAAGGAGGGGAGGTGAGGAGGAAGGAGGGAAGAGACGAAGGAGGGAGATGGAAAGGAGGGGAGGAGCGGAGGAAGGAGGGAAGAGACGAAGGAGGGAGATGGAAAGGAGGGGAGGAGCGGAGGAAGGAGGGCGGTGACGAAGGAGGGTGGAAGGGAAGTGGGTTGGAGGGGAAGGGTGGAGACGAGGAACAAAGAAGGGAGACGAAGGAGAAAGATGATATTAAGAGGAGAGAAAGAAAAAGAAGGGAGGAGAGGAAGGAGGATGATAGAAGCAGCAAGAAACAAGGGACGGTGATAGAGAAAAGGGAAAGAAGGAAAAGGGGAAGAGACAAAGAAAGAAGAGGGAAACGAGAGAAAAGGAAAGAATAACACAAAACATGATAAACAATTATCTCCCACTGAGATAAGCAATAAATAATAAACATAATAATAATAAACATAATAACATAATAACGACTACATAATAACTGCATAAATATAAATAATTATAATTGAAATGAAGGCAACAATGAGTTCATTAATAATGAATTTCAATCGAAATAAAAAGATGCATTGCGAACTGAAACCACGAAAAAGAAGAGGTAAAAGAAGAAGACGACGACGAAAAAGAAGAGGAAAAAGAAGAAAAAGAAAAAGAAGAAGAAGAGGGAAAAGAAGAAGAAGACGAAGACGACGAAAAAGAGGAAAAAGAAGAAGATAATGATGAAGACGAAGAAGACAAAGAAGAGGAAGAAAAGAAAAAAAGTAGAAGAAAGAAAGAAAGAAAAGATATAAAAGCAACAACAACAACATAAACCCATCTTAACCAGCCATGAGAAATGAGTAATCTACACGTACTCATATATTAATCAAAATCTAAAGAAGCGAACCGTGAGAGGTGAGCGAACGCAGAGATGAGTCAAGTGAACTTCCACAATGGCGCCCGTGATGTGTTTCTCTCACTCTGCATTACTTTGCTTTTTATTGCTGAAGAAGTCTAGGAGGGAAGAAGGGAGAGAAGGAGGGGGGAGGGGGAGAGGAGGGGGGAAGGGAGGGAGGGAAAAGGGGGAGAGAGAGAGAGGGAGAGGGAGAGAAAAAGAGAGAGGGAGACGTAGGTAAATGAAGTATATATTCTCTTTGCTATCTATATAATCTGAGTACACACACACACATAAATTTCTATATTAACATATACGTCATCCATACCTAAATAGGGACTGAAATCCTACCCTGAAAACTGTGTACATTGTTTCCTTACATATCCCCCCTTCACTGCCACTGTCCTTACTCCCCAGCCCCCCCCCCCTCCTCCAAAAACATTTTATTTTTCTCTTGGTGTTTGTGATTCCTGCCTGACGAATGGCCACGAGAGAGAGCGTCGTGATGAAGCGGCGGCAAGATATATGATTCTGCGAAGATCACAAAGGAAAGTGGAGAGATCTTCTTTACTGAGATTTGCATATAACTTCTGACCCGAGGTTTCTCACGTCCCTGTCAATCAGCTTTTAATTTTCTTTAAAGCATGATCTCTATTGTGTATAAGACTGCAGCAAATGGCATGCGGTATCCCTAATGTTCTTAAAGGCTTGCCGATGTGAAACAGCTAACACAAGAAAAACAAATAAGTATTTGCATGTCGCTTTCTAAAATGAGCTAACGTAGATATCGTCCTTCATCTTGCACATTTAAGGAATTCGTCAAAACTTCTGACTGGCCTTTCTTACCAAATGCCCTTCAGTGCAAGTTTCTATCGAACCCCAAGCTGTTGACGCGCGCGAGAAAACAAGCGTCATCGAAAAGAAAAACAACAAGTAAAACAACTAAACAACCCGCTTAATAGAGACATTCCCAGTTGCTTTATTTGCCCACGATTCCTCTACATCATATTCGCTCTTCCTCGCTCTTTTTTTCTTCGTGTGATGATAGCCTTCGGGTAGATATAAAGACATTATGGAAGGTACATGTTACTAGGGTGTGTCTGGGTGACCCTAAACACCGTAGATGTATCCAAAACCATCGGCCCTTATAGGTATTTTGCCCAGACTTTCCTCCTTCACTTGTCCGATTGTTTCAGCCCTTTGTCAAATTGTTTCGTTGCCTCCACCAAGAGAGACCGGGGATTTCACTCGCTAACGGAGTGATTCTGAAAAGACCAAGACGGTTCTCTCGGTTCTGGCGGCCGTGTCGGTGGTTCTCGGTTCTGGCTGGACTTAGGGAATTGCTTTTAAGGGACGTTTGCTATTTCTATCCTCCTTTTCCTCCGCCAAACTATGTGAGACGAAAAGAACCACGATCCTGTTTTGGTCTCCTTATCGCTTCGTTCAGCATGGCCACTTTTTTTTTCTTTTTTTAGATCACCAGACGAAACCGTGCAATGTTCTAAAAGCAGGAATCAAAGTAACCAAACGACCGTTCAGCCAACGCGGAGAACGTAATTTACCTTCCTACGAGGACACTCAAAGTGGACAAAACCAAAGAACAACAAGAGAAGAACTAATAAAGAGAAGAAGATGAGAGGCA